AGAATATTTTGAAGATATTTCTAAGGTAAACCAGGAGCATTTTCTTGTGCAATTTTTTTCTTTTAAGGAATCTGCCCTCACCCTTTCTGATCCATCACCCTAACCAAAACCCTACTTCTGTTTTCAACAGATGTTGTTTAATCCTTTCCAGAAAGAGGGGAAAGGGGTGGTAGGAGGGGAGTTTGCTTGTTGGTAGTAGAGCTCATTGTCATTTGCTCTGTGCTGGTCAGCATACAGCAGATAGGAAGCCACTGGCACAAGGCCAGGTGGCTGGATTATCCAAACATGCTTCTCAGCTTTTAGTGCCTGTGCCAGTCCCCTCTCTGTTTTAAATAGCCAGGTGCTATAGTTAATGCTGGTTGTTGCAGGAGGAGTTGGGGGGAAGGGTTCTTTCCACTCACCCCAAACCCTCCTACAGCCCATCCCACACAAAGGGCTGAACGCAAGTAAAGGTCCAAGTTAACAGTTCTCTAGTCAGGAAAGCAGAGAAGTAGGATTTAAAAATTTTTTTTCCAATAAATGCATAAAGGGATTTGTGACACTTGCACAACAAATGCACACTTCTCATTTTCATGTTTGCATAATCAATCATCTTGACTGCAGAAAGAACAGCCCACAACTACAGACACCCCTTCCCCCAAAGTAAAAACATGATTTAACAAGAGGTGTGGAGAATGTCAATTTTTCCATACCATCTCTTAGGGAAGTAAGGCCACGTTACATTGGAGAAGGTTTTAGCAAGTATGTCAGGCACTGGAAGATTGCAAATGCTAGGTACCCTTAGCATTTCTGGAATTCATATGGTTACAGGGAGGGAAACACAGAGTCTCTAGAATTACATTACTGTTAATCTAAGCAAATGCTATCAGATTTTTCTTTGTTTCTAGATCTCAAGGGTCAAGTGTGTAGGATCCCAAGGGAATGGGTTAATGGCAGATGAGCTTGAGTCACCTACACATGCTCCGTGTGCTTCTCATCCAGTCCACCTGCTAAAGAGAAGTAATGCTTTACTCTTACCCCCATTAAGCAAATGAGGATTAAACATTATGTTTTTTTTCAGGGATACTTTTTGCTTCAAATATACTATTTAAAACCTGTGTCTATTGTGTTTTTAACCCAATTCCAACCCATTCCAGAGCCTATTTTCATCCCAGATACTATTTTATGCTCAAAAATATGCAACCATGGACAAAAAGGGCACCCTGCTGGGCAAACACATGGGTTACAGGACAAGCAGGGTAAGAAGGTTTTAGAGGGAATGGAGTGGACAGCAAATAATTCTGGGCAGAGACCTGAGTGAAATAAGGGAATTAGCATGGTTGGTGTGTGGAGAGAAAGGTGAGGAATAGACTTTGAAGTGAGAGAGATGGCAAATTCAAAGGGCTTGAGGTAAGGTTATGCTTAATTTGGAAGACCAGCAAGAGGACCAAAGAGGCTAATGGAATGAGCAAGGAAAATAGTAGGATATGGGGAAACTTGAGCTGAGTCTAATGTAGGAAACTGCTGGAGAGGTTGTTTGAATAGAGAATCCACAGTCTAACTACTTTTCTGTTTTCAGGGGAAATCAGGCAAATATGGAAATAAGGATACCAAATAGTAAGTTATTGTGGTCCTCTTCAGTTGACAGTAGTTAAAAAGTAGTTAAAAAATGACTGTTTTGAAGGGAGAAGGAAAGTGGGAAGACCTTGGGAATTAAGGGTTCAATGTGATACTGGGAGATTGAGGCCTGTCCCACCTCCAAGGAGAGAAAGATACATCAACCTCTGTTTTTACTAGTCTGAAGCTCAGGGAAGAGCCAGCTGGTATGTGAACATGGTGAATGTTGGCCTAGCGCAGCGGGTGTTTGAGTGAAGGATCAGGGATGATTAAACCTGTGACCCGAGAGCCCCGCGTGCTGACAAAGTTACAGGGGTGATGGAGGTGCAGGATCTGTGCTGACTGTGTCTGTTTTCTTAGCCGAAGAAAACAGCAAACTCATCCATCTCATCTGAGAGGTGGGGAGACGTGCTCTGTGAACCAGTCCTGGGGTAAATGTAGCAGGATACTCAAGCCAACTGAGGACTCACTTACAGTTACTTACTATTAACGGTAGAACCAGGGCTGTGAACACAGTTTGGGGTTTCCTTTTAACCATGTTCAACAAGCAGCACGGGTGGGCCATGGATTAGGTCCATCAGTGATGTATTAGCCTGGTCAGATTGTGAGGACTGAGAGGACATAATTAGGTGATGTGCAGGGTGGTGTGTGTGCTGTCATAGACCATGGAACTGAAGTTGGGAGAGAACAGACGTAAGGACATGTGGGATGTGGAGAGCGAGATAAAGATAGTGGTTATAATAGGTGACCTTCCCCAGAGAAAGTAAGCTTGCTAGAGACTGAGCGCAGGAACTATGAAGTTCAGAGAGGATGGTCAGACCACACGCAGCCTTCTTATAATAGAGGAATGGGAGTGGTACAGATATTGGTACTCAGGTCAATGGTTGACCTGGGCATGGGTGCCTTGACTCTGCAGGATAAAAGCATTGAAGAGGAAAAGCTCCAGAAACTGAGAGAGGCCAAGAAAATTAGAAGGCTCCTCAGACTCAGTTATGAAATTATCTGAATCGTAGCAGGGATTAGGATAAAGATGGAGGAGCAATGAGCTTGGTGGCTGGGGCAATCAGGAAATTAGAGGTAACCCAAAGCTGTGGGAGATTGGAGAAGGGCATGGGCATCGTCATGGGGTAGGGTTTGAGAGGCAATGAAGGAAGCCTGAATAGCCTAAACACCAAAAGAGCTAGAAGTAAAGCTGTGTGGCTCAATTGGTAGAGTGCTAGCTTTGCACATAAAAACTCAAGGATTGATAGGAAATGGACTTACTACCTGACTCATGTAACTGTAACCCCTCTATACAGTATTATTACAATAAAAATGTATTAATTACCTATATGTATAATGCTTCCTTTATGACCTGTTTTAATCATCAATAATTCTGTGGTACTACTATTATTACTGTACTTTTACAAATAAAGTACAATGAAAATGTCCTTCACCATAAATTAAGTGGAATGATGAAAATGGTAAAGATGATGCCAAGTTTATTTAGTTATCCAGTATTGGTACAGAGATGCACTATGGGTTTAAATTGTTAATCCTTTCCTCCTTTTTGACCAAAATGTAGACAAAGCAGTAACTTGTAATCAACAATTACTTGCTACATGTTTTTTTTAAATAAATGCTGTTTTTAAAATGGGAAGAATCGGATTGGGTGACACTGTTAAAAAAGAAATGTACTCATTACTTAACTTATGCAATCGTATTTCCTCTGTGCATCACCTTTACGATAACAATAAAAATATTTTTTAAATACGGGGGGGGGGGGGGGGGGGGGCGGGGCGGGGAGGGAAGCTCAGGGACAGGCTTAGGTCCTGAGTTCAAACTCTGTGACCAACATACACAAAGGCACCAAGGGATCTAACTTTTGCCCCAGCACAGAAAGGTTGGAGAGTGATGCTGGCTGGGGGCTGAGGGATGGAGGTGCATGAATTGGGGGTGGGAGGGAGGTCCTGTGAAATAATAAAGATGAAAAACCTTCTGTAGATGTGGTGGTGATAGTTGCACAATAGTACAAATGTACTTCATGCCACCCAGCTGTACACTTATGCTGGCCCATCTTAAGTTGTATGTCTTCCTCTAACTTAAAAGAAAAGAAAGGTCAGAGGACAGGCCCAGAAGGAAGGAAGCGGTAGGCCTGAGAGTCCCAAGGATTCAATGGAAGGCAGTTGAGTCAGTGCAGAGGCTGAGTTGTAGAAGGTGGAGGGAAGCCTCTCTGGCTTTGTGTGTAGGCAGAGGGTCGATCTCTGGGGTCCCTGCTCTGAGTGCTGGGGTAGGGAGGTGGTCTTCCTTGGGGCTCAAGGAACAGGAGGGTTCTCTGTTACTCCACATCTGTTTCCCCAGAACCTGGCCCAGTGCCTGGTGTGCAGAAGACACGAATGTCTGTTTGAATGGTCAAAAATAAGTTCTATCCAAAGAAAAAACACCAAGTGAGAATTTAATGGCCTTGCTGATAATCCAAACAAATTTCCCTCTAAAGTGATGAAGCTAGACTTGGTCTCTGGAGGAGAAAGGATTTTTGGCAGAGGTGCAAAAGAACTTATTGCGAAAGCAGAGTTTTAGACTGGAAAAAATAAAATCATAAACAGAGAGCTACGAGTGTATAACAGAGTTGCTTAAATTGAAATACTTTCCTACCTATGTAAACGATTATATAAATGGAAAAGTTGTAATGTGGAAATGGATTATCTTATTCTTTTGCTAAATAAGACAGTTATTAGTTTCATAAAATGCTCTTTTACATTGAGTTTTGTGCATTTTGTTTTTCCCCTGAAAGTCAAGATGGGCCAAGAGCCAATGGCTCACACCTATATGTTGCTCAAGAAGTTGAGATCTAAGCTGGACCCCAGTGGCTCATGCCACTCAGGAGGCCAATATCTGAGGATCACGGTTCAAAGCCAGGCTGGGCTGGAAAGTCCATGAGACTTACCTCCAATAAACCACCAGAAAACCAGAAGCGGCACTGTGGCTCAAGTGGCAGACCCTTAGCTTTGAGCTGAAGAACTAAGGGACAGTGACCAGGCCCAGAATTCAAGCCCCATGACTGACAGGGGAAGGGGCGGGGGAAGCAGTTAAGATCTGAGGGTCACAGTTCAAAGCCATCCAGGACAGGGAAGTCCATGAGACTCTTTATCTCCCATTAACCACCAAAAAGCCAGAACTGGAGCTGTGGCTCAAATGGTAGAGCACCAGCCTTGAGCAAAAAGCTAAGGGACAGTGCCCAGGCCCTGTGTTCAAGCCCCAGGACTGCAACATACACACACAAAAATGTCAAGGGACGCTGCCTGTGGAGATGTGTATTTTCTGGCAACAAGCCAGTAAAGCACTGGCTTGTGGTCATCTCATGTTGCAAAACATGTTCTGCAGCTACCAGACCATTGTCATGCCCCTTCTTCTTGTCGTTTTAGTGACAGCTATATTGTGCGTGTCAAGGCTGTGGTTATGACCAGAGATGACTCCAGCGGGGGATGGTTCCCACAGGAAGGAGGCGGGATCAGTCGTGTTGGGGTGTGTAAGGTCATGCACCCCGAAGGCAGTGGACGCAGCGGCTTCCTCATCCATGGTGAACGACAGAAAGACAAACTGGTAATGGTAGACACACAACTCATGTTCACCAGTAGTAGTGACTGACTTCTCTATGTTAAGCTATATCCCTCTTCCCATTGGTATTTTGTATTTCTCTCTGCAGTTCAGACTTCTGCAAAAACAAAACAAAACAAAAAACCTTTACAAATGTACTCTGGAGCTGCTGCCAAATTTTAAAACAAAGCCAACACCTTTCCAACAAAATCTCTAATGACCACACACCATGCAGCGCACATGCTTACAAGTGTATTGAGCAATCAAGTTTGCATCTTGGATTCATCAAGATGTATTTCTTTCTGACTTTGTTACAAGATATTTAACACAAAAGGGGGGTGTTCTTATTATGACGAGTCACATAATGCCACTGAACTATGAAGCCAGAGTTTTTTAAATGTAGGGTTTGTTCCTGGAGCTTTGCCATTGAACTTTGGATGGTAGATGGTAAAAGTGTAAAGGCAGAGTCAGCTGACTTTTGGCTCCTTTTATGTGTTTATCCAAAGGGTACTGTAGCTTTTACCTTGTAAATAATGAGTACAACATGTTTGGAAAAAGAAAGCAACAAAAAGGAGTATCACACATCTATAAATAATTATACATGTTTATAAATAAATACTTGGAAAATAATCATTTTCTCACAAGAGTCAGGGATTGTGAGTTCATAACTTGGACAGCCACTTCTGTGTTGTTGACAGAATCTCTGATAGGAGGAAAATTAGAAGACACAAGTCTGTTTTATTTTGTCGTGATTCTTACTCACATCCATGTATTTTTGTGGTGCTGAGAATTGAACCCAGGACTTCATATACTAAGCAGACATCCCATTTGAGACTCATAAACCTATCTGTTGAGTCTTATGTATTAAGTGCAAATTTTATTTTTTTCACTGATCATCTGAAAAAGTTACTGGATAACACAGAACAATTTGTAAGTGTGATATACAGATAACAGAAATGCCATTTTCATACCCAACCAATTTCTGAAAATTCAAAGGGAGAAATGCAGCTAATTTTAAGAAGTATCTCTTCAGGAAATTCCCTACATAACAGTCAAATCATCAAAACATTCTTATTTCTGAGATTTTTTTCAATAGAAGCAGTATAATCACACTATCAAGAAAAGGGAAATTAACCACCCTTCATCTTGCTTTTTCTCTGTGTTAAATATGGCCTCAGCCCCTCAGTTATGCTCCATATTTGTATGTCTCCTACAACCTGTATTGTAATTGAGGAATCAAAGAGTCTTTGCTCTTGGTGACCCATTTAGAGGCCTGGAACCGGTATTTGATACCAGTGATCTCTAAATTAAACTAGAGCCACCTGTGCACAACCAACTTTGGGTCTTTAATACAGGTTTCCAACTCTTGCTAATGTTTTTATTTTTACTTGTCTATAATCATTTGTCGACAAATTTACTTTTTTAAAAAAAATTTTTATTGTAAAGATACTATACAGAGGGTTATAGTTACATGAGCAAGGTAATGAGTACACTTCCTATTGAGCATTGTTACCCCCTCCATTGTTTTCCCCCTACCATCCCTGCCTCCCTACCTTCCCCGAGGTTCTTTTTTTTTAACTTGTGATTAAGTGATTACATAATTTCCCGAATTTCACAGTATTGTGGAATAATGATGCTCATTTAAAGTCACAAGTTCATTCTAACTTTCCTGGAGCAAATTGTCTATCACAGTCTATAACATACAACGGTGTACACATATACACCATACATGTGATCAGCAGCATGGGGATATTTAGTAGTGGTTCCACCAGATGAGTGAGAGTTCTTTGTTTCTTAAGTCCTGTTAATTGACAAATTTACTTCTTATGGATTCATTTTACTGGCTAGGGAATTGAATCCAGGGTTTTGCACATGCTTGGCAAGCTCTCTACCACTGAGCCACATCCCCAGCCCCTGTAACCATCTTTGTATTGTTTCTTATACTCTTACATTCTCATAAGAACATTCCCATGTTGCTGATAGCGATGTGATCCTCCATTGTTCATTTGACCATATCCTTCATTTCATGTACTAAGATAATTTTCTTACGTATTTTTTCATTTAAATTCATTCATTTATTTACTTAGTGCTAGTCCCAGGGCTTGAACTCAGACCCTCATGCTCTGACCTGTTGGTTGGTTGTTTTTTTTTGCTCATGGCTGGTGGTTTGTTATTTAAGCCACTACTCTACTTCTGTCATTTTACTTGTTAATTGGAGAAAAGAGTCTCTTGAGAGCTGGGAATGTGGCTTAGTTGTAGAGTGCTTGCCTAGCATGCATGAAGCCCTGGATTCAATTCTTCAGCACCACATAAACAGAAAAAGCCAGAAGTGGCTCTGTGGCTCAAGTGATAGAGTGCTGGCCTTGAGCAAAAGAAGCTCAGGGACAGTGGCTAGGCCCTGAGTTTAAGCCCCAGGACTGCTCCCTCCCACCCCACCCCACCCCCCCAAAAAAAAATCTCTTGATTTGGCTGCCCTGGTTGGCTTTAAATCATGATCCTCACAACTCCACCTCCTGAGTAGTTAGGACTATAGGCCTAATTACTTTTTGCCCTTCAACCCCACTGTTACAAAGAAATACCCTCATTTATTGACACTTTTTGGAATAATTTCAAGGGTTTAAATTTTTTTTCCCTTGTTGTCAGTTGTGGGGCTTGAACTCTGGGCCTGGGCACTGTCCCTCAGCTCTTCCAGCCCAAGGCTAGAGCTCTACCACCTGAGCCATATGCCACTTCCAGTTTCCTGGTGGTTAATTGGAGATAAGAAAGAGTCTCTTGGACTTTTCCTGACTGGGCTAGCTTTGAACCAAGATCCTCAGATCTCAGCCTCCTGAGTAGTTAGGATTGGAGGCATGAGCCACTGGTGCCCAGCTCAAGGGGTTAAATTTTTTATAACTTCAGAAAGAAGTTATAGAAAGGGACTGCTACTAACATGCAAGCCTTTTCCTTTTTTTTTGGTCAATCGTGGGGCTTGAACTCTGGGCTTGGGCAGCTCAAGGCGAGCACTCTACTGCTTGAGCCACAGTGGTTTTTCAATTCCCTAGCATAGTAAGCCACTTCCAGTTTTCTAGTGATTTATTGGAGATAAGAGTCTCACAGATTTCCTTGCCCGGGCTGGCTTTGAACTGTGATCCTCAGATCTCAGCCTCCTGAGTAGCTAGGATTACAGGTGTGAGCCACCGGCACCCAGCCTTAAACTTTTCTTTAACACATGTATATTTTAAATCTTTATCAGTTTGATAGAATAACAGTAACATAATTATTTACTAATCAGCTGAAATGGTTTTCTCTTTGATAAAGTTATATCTGAATGTATCTGTTAGTGTCTTTTGTATAGATGCTGATTAAGGGCTTTAATAATGATATAATCTCCATTTGCCATATTTGCTACAAATAGACTTTACTAATTTACTTGTCCCTACTTTTTTGTCTTTAATTTTTCTGTGTTAACAAATTATCTCCAGTGAAGGGTTATGTATATATAGAGCTATTTTTTTTCCTGGTATTTCTGTGGTTTGTCATAGAATATATCAACCTAAAATAGCCCTTTAAGATTATCTAGCCTAGCCTCTTAATTTTACATATGCATTTATGAACTAATGTCTTACCAGTGATTTGTATATAGTAATTACAGACTGTGCTTTGTTCAAGGTCCTTGACATAAATAACCTCAGTAACATTCCTGCACCATTCTGAAAGAGGAAGATATCTCCACACTGTAGTAGGAGCTGAGTTCTAAAAGACTATTCATGTCGGGCACTGGTGGCTCACACCTAGCTACTCAAGAGATTAACATTGAGGTTCATGGTTCGAAGCCAGTCTGGGCAGGAAAGTCCATGAGACTCATCTCCAATTAACCACCAGAAAACCGAAAGTGGCACTGTGGCTCAAGGTAGTAGAGAACTAACCTTGAGCAAAACAGCTTAGGGACAGTGTCCAGGCGAGTTCAAGCCCCACAATGGACTCCCCCCCACCCCCCCAAAAAAAAGTTGTTTGTTTCCCAGGTCTGGGAAATGTAGTCAGTGGTGGAGCCAGTACTGGGACCTATTTGTGTGGGTGTGGGTGTGTGACAGTCCTGGGGCTGGAACTCAGGGGCCTGGGCACTGTCACTTAGCTTTTCCTCTCATAGCTAGCACTCTACCGCTTGGCCATAGCTTTTGATGTTAATTAGAGATAAGACTCCTGCAGGGGGCTGGCTTTGAACCATGATCCTTAGATAGCAACTTTCCTGAATAGCTAGGATTACAAGTGTGAGCCTGACTGGAACTAGTTTCTTTATGAAACCAAAGCCCAACCCTTCTTAATAACTCTGCCTACCAACAAGACAGTTGCAGTTCCATGCCTGCCCCTGCAGAGTGTGGGCCAGCTTCTGTTGATTGTTGTTGTACAGGACCATGCTGGTCTCAAAGTGTGCCTCTTACCTTTTTCCATGTTTCTCCATTCTTCTTTCTGCCCCTTTATACATCCACTGGTAATTCAGTTACATACCTGTACACCCAGTTGAACTTCGTCTTTACAACCCTCGTCTATTTCAGTGTGGAAAATTCTGCATTTCCGTCTCTACACAACACTGCCATTACTATATATACACATACCTTTGGGGCCCAGTGGCTTCTGTTTTTCCTCCTATACTCTCATAAGACAGTAATTCTGTGGGCTGGAGCATAGGCCCCCATGTGGGAGCTCTGCTGAAGGGTGAGTCGTAGAAGAAGGCCCCTCTTACAGGTGGAATGGCAGGGAGAGTGTGCAGGTCATTGCTTGGACACATTGGATGGCGCCAGAGTTCCCCATATTCTCTCTAAGGCACAAGTGCAAGTAGTTCTTTTTCAGAGTAGTAAGTACAGTTTCCCAACTCAATGTGTTTTGGTATGGTTTGTTTCATTGTTGCTATGAGAAAATAGGCATGCTCTCCAGATGCCAATTCATTCACAAGTAGTTTCTTCAGGTGCATTTTGGTTAGATGGAGACAATTAAGTTTTCTTAAGTATATATGCAATTGACGCCTGGCT